GGTAGACCTCACGCTATAGGCGACATATGGCGGTAGACCTCACGCTATAGTAGCACCCATAAGTCTTGTTAGAAAAAAATTGTCTCTGTTGGTGTGGGGAATAAGTTGGCTTATTGGATTGAAAAATGGTTGGATGGAAGAAAGCAGAGGGTGGTTATAAGTGGAGTTCAGTGAAGCTGGATTAATGTCACAACTTGGTGTGAGAAGCTTTGCTCATTTTGATTTACACCAATGATATAGATGAAAGATTTAGATTATTTGGTGAGTTGAGCAAGTAAATGGCAGATGGCTTTTAATCATAATTATAATAAAAAAAGTATTTCATATGGGCTATCATAATTTAAATTATAAGCATAATTTTAATGGGAATAACCTTAACAGTGTTATGGAAGAAAATGATTTTGGTATCTTGGTTGATCAGTCTCTTTATGTCATGGAGCATTTGTGGCAGGGGCTGCAGAGACAGGTTACCTCTTGTCACTTCACCTTATTTTGTGGAGGGGTTCATTCTCTTATTTTAACCACATTGGTCTTTAATTATTCTGTTCCATTCCTTCTTATTTCGTTTCTCTGCTATTGGAACAGGATGCCGTCTTATCTAATGTATGCCTCCCTCATGCTTACCTTTATGATTTTCATTGGGCTTCTTTTCTTCAGCATTTCCAGGATGTGGTATTTTATTTCTTGGCCAGAAATATCACTAGGAGAGTACTTACTTGTACTCTAGGTTATTACTTTTGTCCCCAAGAAGGCCGGGATATGTGTCTGGTTATTGATTTGTCATTTCTCAGCTAGACAGGATTTTTCCCATGGAATGTTCTCTCCACCTTCAGGTTTTCATTGGGTTTACTCTCAGTTGGGTATTCCTTTCATCAATGCCTTTGCCACTCCTTTTAACACCAAACTTCCTCTTTTCTGGCTCCCAGTATTTCATCCTTTGACCTTGTTGGTCTGTTTTATTAGCCAGGACTGGTCTTACCTTTTTATGTATTGTATTTTCCCCCATGTCCTCATTTTGATACACAACACTTTTTGTTGGGTCCTATTGGTGGCACCTCTTTGGCTAGCACAAACCTGGTTTCCTCTGCTTCATCAGTTGGCATTCAGGTCCCCTCTTCCTTCCTATTCCTGCTCTCTCTTGCTCCAACTACACACATCTCTATTTCAGTCATGAGTGTTGTACTTTCATCTTCACATGTGGGATTTCTCTGATTCATTGCTTTCAGGGTTAGCCTCTCTGACCGTATAGCCTTTTTTCCTTATCAACTCTGTCTGTCTGTCAACAAGAGTGGTATTTTCTTCAGTGTGGGACCTTCCAACACTCCCTTTTTCCGGGCCATCCTACTCTGGCTTATCATTAATTTTTGAAATGGTTGTTTGACCATAGATTGTCAGTTTCTACCATTGTTGGTTATTGAGCAGCTTTATCAACTATTTTTTGCTAGGTGTTTTCATCTCTTATCCTCTTCACTTTGTTTAAATTCTTTTTTTTTTCTTAGACCCCTTCATCCTACTCCCATGCCTGACTGGGATCTTAGTGTGGTTTTATTGTATGAGCCATTGGCTTCATGTTCCACCTTTCTCTGAGAGTATACTTCCTTCTCTTACTCACCTGTGGTTGTCATATGGATGTATATGTCTTGATGTTTCCCACCCTCTTTTGCCACACTTCTATATCTCAACTGGGCCTTTCTTCATAAAACTTTTGTTTTGGAAGTTGATTTTTCTTTCTCTCCTATTTCTTTCTTTTCATTTTTCATCTATATGCTTGTTTGGACTCAGATTGTCTTCTGTGCCCAATTTGAGCTGTTTGGTGTTACTTGACATGTATGTTTTCTTTTCAGAATTCCCATTATTATTTGTTTCTGCCATGAGACCTGTCTTCATCCATAGACCTCTTGCTTGCTACCCTCACAGGATGGGTCTGCCAACTCCTCCATTTGGTGTATTCTTTCCTGGATATTGATGCATCCAGACCTTTTCACATTGACTTGCATCAGCTTCATCTGTCTCACTTTCTTTGACCATTGGAGAAGATCCTTCAGGTGAAAATATTGATGACCACACACACACAATAATTTCCCATTATTTTCATCATCTGGCTGTTTAGTCTCCTGTGGTATTTTGGCTCACTTCGGTCACTGTTTTTCAGTCTACACACTGAGAACAGTAGGTACATTTTCCCTCCCTTTTACAGGATCCTGCTAGGTGACTGGTGTTGTCTCCTAGGGTATGCTTATTTCCCATTATCTGCATCAGGTCAGAAGTAATGAAAAGGGCAAAATCCATCCGCCCTGGCTGTACCAGTACCCATGTGAAGGTGAGGTGTTCTGCAAGAACATTAGAGGCATACTCAAGGTATTATAATTACTCAATTTCAAACTCAAGACGGTGATTTCCATAGACTGTTGTGGAAAAAGCTGGCCCAGGGAAGCGATTGCCCATTTCATTGACACTTCTTCCAGATTTTAAAAATTGGGTTTTATGGTCACCAATTCCACTGTCTCCAATAAAGGGTCTTTACAGCAGGTATCTGATGAGGATGCAGGCACTTATCTGAGTCTCACCATTGCCAATTTAATCCCCTCCCCCTCTTCAAGTGGAGCACAGAAGACTTACTAGTTCCTAGCCACTGAGATGTGGACCCTTGCAGAGTTCTTCACTGATTTTGTGCAGCAGGATATGGTTGGGAAGTATGGGAGTGATGGCACTGTACGTGTAGTGCAGTTCACCCCTTAAACAGTTAGTGGGCCTTCCTCCTTCAGCAGTAAGGTTCATCACCTGTCCCAGTCTGTTCAGTTAAGTCAAGGTCAGACACACATTGTATGGTTTGATGATGCCCTAACTACACTACACTTTTTGGCTTGCTGACTGTTCGTGTGTTATTGCTCAGCTGTTCATGTTAAAATTATTTTCATCCTTGTGACACTTAGAGTTCTTTTGCCTTTCTTTCCTTTTTTCTGGTTGAGACAAGATGTGGTCTTCCACAGGTGTGTTTCTATGGAGCCTCTGCAGTCAGGTGTCACACTCCATGGGCTTTTCTCTTTGGGTGCTTTCTGAATGGAGCTTATCTAGGTTTAATGTTTGCACTGGCCTTCCCTCCATTTCAATGTGTTATTCTAGACATTCTTGTGAGGAGGTGAGGTATCATAATGGAAGTTAACATTTTCATTACCTGAAAATGTATTTCCGATAGATATTCACTTTCTCCCACTCATCCTTCCAACATATGGTGAACTTGTTTCTTGCCTCATCT